AATCCTTTTGGCTTGTTTGGATTCCTGCGCATGCCATTCGGTCTTCAGAATGCAGTACAAACATTCCAACGCTTTATGGATGATGTCTTCCGTGGTTTGAATTTTGTTCACGTCTACATCGATAACTGTCTCATCGTGAGTCCAGATAAGGAAACTCACCTTAAAAATTTGGACCTAGTATTCAGAAGACTAAACAACAAGGTATCATAGTCAACTCGTAGAAATGTGAAATAGGAGTTGAGTCATTCAGATTCCTTGGGCATACCATTGACAACAAAGGTATACTCCCGTTGAGGGATAAAATGGTGGCTATCATAACGAACTTAAAGAGTACTGTTTATCTCTCAAAGCCACTACGGTACGCCCCCCCTTAAAAAAACGACCAAATAACCCTATAATGGAAGGACTATGTAGTTGACTTCACTTATATACATGAAAATGTACATAAAGTCCGAGTAAGTCAAAAACGAATAGGGACTTCTCTCTTCTCCAAAGTTGATAGCGTTGTAATCTCTATTTCCATATCTGCTCGTGCCTCTTCTTTCTTTCCCCATTTGCAGAAACAGCTGCAAGTCGATATTTGATGTTCGAATTCAGTCTGAACGTGATTACTTTATGGTGAGGACACCTGCTCATTGACGCCAATAACTATTGGACTGCTCCTACTCTTTCGCAAATTCTGGACCATCTTCAAGATTAGCTCACCTACTGGTCATGATTCTTCCTGCGACGAACCGTCTGGCCATTCCCAACAGTATTAGTAGCAGAGACATTCTGAACAGATGATTAGACCAGAGACCAATTAACATATTGGCTCAGGACGTCACTTACCTGCAATGGCTCCACACTAAGTATTTTCTAGTGCTGTGTACCAAGAGACCTTTTCATATGGAACTTACTACTCATCAAATACACTTCCCTAATGATGCCGCCTATGCTGATACAGAAGGCACCTGAAGTCTACAGACTACTGACTGTTCCAACATCTATTTTCACCCAATACAAGTATTCCCAGCAGAATTAATCTATATTACCTTTAAAAGTAACATGGTGTCCTGGATATGCATTGATATAGCCATACACGTTGGTTATATAACTGTGGATACTTTATTGATACTCCAGATTGTATGAATGGGTCCTTTGTGGTTAGCGAGGCTAAAAACTGAAGACCATTCTAAGGAATAAACTGTTATATTACTAATCAGCAAACTACGCGAATGGACTAACAACGTCGGTTGGTTACGACGCAAACTTTGAACACTGAGTGCTTTTGATGTTGGTAATGGAACGTATCTATGTGATGGGAGATGACAATCCGTATCCGTCTCATGAATTTCAGTAAATTTTAATAAGATTATGCACACTAATGACTTGACATGTAGATTATTTAATACTAGATGCTTTCAAAAGTTATGAATTTTACGGTGCTTGTTAACTGGTATTCCTCATTTAAACCCGTTAAATGAAGACAACATTTACTATTATCTAAACTTTGACACTATGTACGCTGTAAAGTAATATTTCCTTGTTCATTTTATAACTAGCAGGACCTTCGGCAGTTTTTAATTGAGTTTAATGACATTCCGTCAGTACCACTCAGGGCTCAAGTCTTGTAGATATTTTGAGATCTATCAATATGATGATGCCTGTAAACTGGCTTCTCTCATGCTAAAATTTTTTTAAAGCGAGAACAAAACATTTATGTATTTATTTGTCCAAAGCCGACCACTGTGAAACATCTCCGCACTTTCAATGGCCTGGTAAGTTATCAAAGAAGGTTTATCCCCAACTGTGCCTCTGTTATGAGACCACTCACAGATCCACTTCGAGGGGCTACGAACTTCATGACCCTGGACAACGTGGCTAGACTTGCTTTCTCTAAAGTCAAGGAAGCCATTACAAACGCAACCACGCTCATGCATCACGACCCCGTGGCCGATGCACTATCATGAATAGCTACTATAAATCATATCGAGGGCGTTGATCTTGTTTAATTAGCCCGGCGTCAAAAGGAAGACCTTGAGCTACATCAAGAGTTGTCGTCCACAACTCTCAAGCTGCGAATGTTTCCGGTTGGGTCAGACAGGGATACAATTTTGTGCGATGTCTCTGCTAGTCAGCCATGCCCAATAGTTCCGAAGATTTGTCGGCGCAACGCCTTTAATAAGTTGCACAAACTGTCTCATCCAGGTTTACGAGCCACCATTAGGCTTATCGCACAACGTTTCTGCTGGCCCGGGATGAACAAAAACGTTCAGCAGTGGGCTCGGTCTTGCTTAGCCCGCCAAAAGTGCAATGGTCACGTGACACATGTAAAGCCCTTTGGGCCCTTTTCTAGCCCCAGACATGCGTTTCAACCACGTCCATATAGATATTGTAGGACTCCTACCAGAATCTAATGGATGTACCCACCTTTTCACTTGCGTTGATCGTTTCACATGATGGCTGGAAGCAGTACCTAGTAAGCATATCACTGCCGAAACAGTAGCTCGTGTTCTCGTCGAAAGATGGATTGCGAACTTTGGATGTCAATCCTACGTCAAAACCAACCGCGGGCGCCAATTTGAGTGTGGACTATTTTACGCTCTAACGGGGCTTTTAGGTTGCACCCGGTTCCGAACGACAGCGTATCATCCACAAGCAAATGGCATGGTAGGGCGTTTCCATCGACAGCTGAAAGCTTCCCTTTCAGCTGCAAATATACTTTAGTGGACCGAGGCTCTGCCTCTAGTCCTACACGTATTCGTAACGCGTTGAAAGTTGATGCTGGATGCACTCCTGCAGAACTCGTCTATGGGACCACTCTTCGCCTACCAGGTGAGTCTATTTCCCCTTCTGTTTTCAAACATGTTTCCGACAGGGCGTCGTACGTGACTGGGCTTACAAATGCAAGGCGTTCAGTTAGGCCTTCTTTGGTTAGACCCCAAACGACTGATGTCTTCGCTCACCACAGTTTACAAAGGACATCACACGTGTTCGTTCGCCACGACGCCGTTCATCGACCACTTGGACCGTCCTACGACGGGCTATTCAAAGGCAGCAAGCGACACGAGAAATTCTATATAATTGAGCGGAACGGACGTGAAGATACTATCAGTATCGACCGTTTGAAACCAGCCCATTTTGAAGGCAATCACATTATAAGCGACGTTTCAGCTCGCTACAGCCGACCGGCGTATGGCTCAGTTATCGAAATTCTTGACGAGGTGCCTGGTAATGCATGGTTACAATGATCATCGGCGCAACAGAAAACACGATCAGGTAGAACCGTCAGGTTCCCGGAGTATTTAAAGCCGTGTTCAACTTAATGGTGTGAAATAAGATGTGCCAACCATGTTTTTTTTACTTCAAAATTCTTTTTCCGAGGCACTGTCTCTCTGATTTACCAACAATGCTAAACTCCTCGGACATTTTGCCTTTTTATATCAATTTTAATTACAATGCAATGAAACTTTTAAAAGAACGGTGAAAATATGCGTAAATTTTTTATTTCCCACAAATTTATATTTAAACAATTCCCATATTTACGAAGCGTTTCAATGGTATTAAAGACTTCTATTTATATTCCAGGTGCAACGAGCACTGGACGGAACGTCAAAGGGAACTGAGGACCGCGATCGACGTACACTTCGATTTATTGTATTTTATTTTTCCCTTGCCACGACATCCTAGAATAAGTTCAGACAGCCAGGGGCCACTTCACCCAGTGAGCCCATCGGAGGAGTTTTACCAGTGGAGAAACCACTGGGTTTTTGCTTCCGGCTGGCATCGTCTTTGGCCATCACTAACACACTAGGGGGGCGCGATCTGTAGCGTCACACACTTCCCCAAAATCAACAGCCTAGGGTCAGAGGATGTTCGACATTTATGCTGACTTCGGTAGTTTAACTGGACTCGCTAAGCTGAAGGCACCCGGTCGAGCATCCTCGCGATTTGCCACGCTGTCGTGTTACGTTTCACTGCTCGTATTCGACCCTCTAGCCGGTTAGTTGGAATGCATCGGTATCTTGGCACAACCACCGAAATATACTATTCCATCCGACTACGCTATTGTGCTCTTCCTTGGTCTCGTATTCCTGGGTATATAACAAATCTGAATAATTAGTGATTGGTCTTTGCGTCTGTCAGGTTCGCACCAGGACAAATCCTAAAACTTCTTACGGCCTCAGTCGGACTTTTAGACTTTCACTTTACACTTGCTCCTCGCAGAAGGACAGATTACTCCTGGAACGCACTTAAGGTAGTCGATCGAATATATTCATGAACTCCGGTGTTAAAGGAATGAAGAACGACTCGTCGTGTTAAGTGCCAACCCTCTGTAATATAGATGGCTGTGAGATGACTAGTTCACAATGTACAAAACACACATGGCATTCATTTTTGACCAGCCGCATCTAAGCAGCAGTACCATATCTAAAGGTAACACAGAAATCAAGACTAAAACATAGATAGTTAGATATCTGGCGCAACTTCCACTCCCCCAAGAGTTGTCAAGCCCTGGAACTCTCTTTCTGCGCAAGTGACCCAGGTCACTTCGTCTGAATCTTTTCAGTACCAACTTGAAACCTGCTTGGGATTTAGATTATGGCCCTCTCAAAACTAACATGATCTTAATATTTTAACAACCACTGTTTTGTATCTTCTTACTTGCAATCAGGTCAACAACCATAAAAAAAACTAGTGACCTACTGATTGTAGACCTAGGAGCCGGAAAATCAAAAGCTTCCTCTATTTCATCTACAATCCTCCGAACTACCTGTTTTCTGAGGAACTTGTCTGCGCCTGAGTCCTTGCACAACTCACCGAATCTCTGCCGATTTAATCAGCACACAAAAGCCCCAAGAATGTACTGGAGCTATGGAATCTGAGTGGGTAAACCTAAGGCATCGGAATCCACGAAAGATCTGGAACCACTCCTCAAGACCTAGGAGGGAGTGAGAGAAAATCAACTAATTTACAGAAGCTTGCAAAAAGACTACAATTATTGGACATTGGAGGTCCTTGAAAATAAGCGGAGTAGTGTTCAAAATTCCTAAAACGACCTTAAGGGAAAATGAGTGGTGAGATTCATGAAGAACGCGTTAGTTGTTCATACCTCTTATTCACCTCTTGTACAGATCTCACTGTCCGACTCAACTGATGAGTCTTCTGATGAAGAAGTAAGCTAGCGATTGCATTTGCTTATTTTATGTAGAATGAATCTGAAACTAGTTTTGTCAGCGACCCAAAGTTGGAAAAACCGAAGGAGAACATTATATTGGACGACAACTCTTTTGGTGAAGACACTGAGGTAGGTTGACTAGTTCGATAATATTGTGGTCTAGACCTGTTCAATATGTTTCGAATTATGGACGTCTTCAGGACCTCACAAAGTTTGTTGTCTCCGCTGCGGACATCTTTTCGGTTATTCGTACGTTGTATAGATAGTCTAACATGCTGTTTCAGATGTGTTGTCAAGTGGCTTAAATCTGCAGGAAAAACTGCTAAGTGCCCTCAATGTAATTCTAAGGCTAGTCGTAATGATATTCGTGTATTATATTGTCGAAACCTAAAGGTAAGTCAATATTAGATAAAATTGTCGTAAGGTGGTCTTTACTTGTGTAAATGAATGCATTGCATTAGTTAGATTTGACGGAAGTTATCATGAAACACTTGTTTCTTCATCAACGGACGCCATCTTCCAGTGCCTTATTAGTGCTATTTACGGTGGAACTAAACTTTAGTAACAGCTGATCACGTTTAAGCATGCACTGAATAATCAGAATCAATAATATAAAGGGAAAAGTAATTATTAGGGAAATTAGTACTTTCGATAGTAATGATGGATAGTGGCTAGCAGTGGAATCTAGAATGCGCATTTTGTCCTATTTGGGACTCGTTAGCTGGATTTACCTGCTTCCCAGTGAGTGATGTTGTTCCCACCGGGATTCGGACTCGGGAGCGGTCTCAACAAACGCCAGAGCGTTATCCACCACAATAGTACTTTACTTGTGATTTCTAAATACGTTTTACTTGAGAAGTAAGGATATCTAGATTGTAAATAGGTTTATCATTTTCGAAACTATACCATTGTTTACACTGCCAATAATCCATATTAGACAATATCACTTAAATGTTATTTGAAAAATTTCCCCTCGCGACTCTTTTATAGGCCTTAAGAACTTTCTAAGACGTCTCCACAAATTTTCAAAATAATTTGTATGCACTCCTGTTGTCCAGTCAACAAAGTGCATTTTGTAAACAATAACTTAATGGCGTCCCCTATTTCAAGTAATGGCATATGTGACCTCCAACCATCTGTGTATATTGTGATACCCAATGTTACGTATTTACGCATAACTAGTAGAATAAAAAAATTTGGTCTATCTTTTGTCTACAAAAAATGTCTTTTCTTCGTATTTCGGTCGTATTTACCAAAAACCTGTGGTATGCCAGGACAAATGTCTTTATACATACACTGGGTTAGTTATAACCAACTCAACCCTGTTCTAGTCATCTTCCTAGAGTATATTCAAGTTTCTAAACAATGCCATCTATTTCAGCTACACTATCTTCAACATATTTCATATACAAGCTGCCATGTAATCTTCGTCATAATCTACCAAAGGTTTATGTGGCGTCAATAACAGGGTAAACAGACGTAACAAATAACTTGAATATATCATCTCCAACCTGATTCGTTGTCCTTGAAGTTTAGTTCTACCGTATTTAATATTAGCATTTGAAATGTCTTACTCATTAACATCATCCTACTGTTTTTATAAGTTGGAGCGAGCAAATATGAAGAATATGAAAGCAACTAACCAAAAGACATTGAACAACGTATCAGGACCAACGGGCACTTACCAACCATATCTGAGAAGATCAAACGGCTATCTTAGGTGAAAATTTGTTTCAAATAAAAGTGAAAAGAACAGTAAATGTAATTAGTATAGCTTCATAGGCATGCTACATTTAATTCCAATTTCTGGTAGGGATGCAGTTAAAAGGACAAGCTGTTTATCTACAGAATGCTTTTCAGATGGTCTCAGAAATCAGCATTTGGTTCTATGAATTTCGGATGAAGCTTTTAGAGTTGTAGATGTAACTGTCAAACTAATATAAAACATGTTAACGTCATCCATTACTGTTATGGTGCTATGCAAACAATGTGAAAATAGTCGGCTGTTCAAGGTTGTTTGGCAAGTTTTTGGCTTACACACGTTATTCTTCACTGTGAAAAAACCTACGGTTAAATGCATGCCTAAAGTGCGACGTGCTTCAATAATTTACGCAAATTTACATGGGAAGTATTGTGACGTTTTAAATGTCATATCCGACAGCACCCTTCGATTTTGATGTTATACCTTGCATCTTCCCATCGTTGATTAGCCCGAATTGGTCGACTGGATCGGTATATGGGGTCCTATGCTCATACATCGATATTGCTGGTAATTTCAGGTTGATATTAACTGTGGGTGGTGGCTCGTAGTGGCGACATCATGCATTGGGTGGCAGATACATCCAACTATAGCTCCAAAGTAAAATGAAACGTCCTTCCAGAATCCCAACCCAGCCATTATCTATTGTTATTATTTGTTTCGATTTGTCTTTTTATTTCCAATAGTTATAGCTTAAAATTGGGAATGATAATACTTCCTGACTCTTCTGACCTCGGTTTATAACAAATCTGTAACCCACTGGCCTTAAGTTGAGTACCTCGATCACGTAGGCACAACTGCACATCATTCTAAACATGAAAGCCTTTTATTCTCTTGTAGCTACACTTTTGACTAGTTATGTGTAGTTTGCAAGTAGTTGTAAAGAAAAGCTGTTACGTCACAGTTTAAGTTGTTATGCTATGGTCTGATTCCGAGGTCTAAGCCATGCGGCTAATTAGATGGAGTATGACATGAGAAAAACGTTTCTGCTGGATAATCAATCCATCCGTATAGGAAGCAGGAAGCAGAAAATAGCAAACTCCTTTTCACCCAGCAACCTCTCGCTGCTGGTGGTAATGCTGTGTGATCAACATCAAGAAAATGTTAATTGTGCTGTGTGATTACGCAAAACCAATCGGATTCCTTTTCCAGGTACGCAAACAAAAAGTAGCCTTCCACGATTTGAGCAAGTGAGAAGTGTCAAACGCTGTCGCATTGCGATGACAACTCATTTTCCTTCAAATTATTATCAGCCTTCCACATCTTCGTCTTCCAACTATTATTTACATCTTCCTGTTAGTGTTTATCCGTCGTCTTAAATCGTATGCTTCTCTGTATCCTTCAATAATGATTTGAGTTCACGAAATAGCCTTCATAGTTTACTGAAACCGCGCTCCTAACCATATATGACAGCTTGCAATGTTTAGATCGTCTGTCTAATACGAACAAAAGCTTCGCCAGCCGAAACTTAGGCATCTGAGCCATGAACATGTGCTATATTTGTGAGACACGCATACAATATCCGAGTGGAGTTATCGGATATCTCATCCGGCCAGTGTTTTAAACCTATAAAATTTATTTTCCCGGTGTCTGGAGATTTGATTGCTGTTTCTTAAAGCGTCAATCCGGATGCAGGAACCACGTTACTCGTCTGGATCCCAGGAGATAGTTGCCTGTGCGCTGGTGCACTAAAAATTAAAAGGAACTGTAAAACTCATTGGTTTATGTGTAAAACGTGGTCACTGGTCGAGTCATATCCCTGATTAGATTTGTTTATTTGATGTAGCACACTGTGATACAGTATCATTTACTTGATGACGTTTCAACCATGAATTATTCGTCATTATCATATCACTGATGTGTTTATAAGCAATAATATGTGCTGGAAATGTCATGAAGTAAATAATACTTTATCACTGGATCCTATATCAAACAGACAAACATAATACGGAACAATAAAACTCACCGTCTTCACTTTGTATTTTCTGCTTACAAACTCATTGACTGCAGTTTGGATAGAGTGAAGGATGAGTCCTACGGGAAATTCTTAGGCCTCCTGGAAGTCAAACACTCATATTTGACTGTTGTAGTAGGTGGTTTCCATGCACAAGTACGAAGGCTGCACCAGATACAATGGCACTTTCGGAATCCCGGCTGGATGAACAGGATGGCGATCACTGGCTACAACTGTGCCCAAACAATCACCTGTTTTTGGTCAGTGCTAATTTCAGAAATATGGAGAGACACTGTGTGACGGGGTGTCCACTAACCTCATCTCAACAGTGGACGCAGACTATATTGTTATCAGTTATCTCTTGACAGGGTTGGTGGAAGATTGCTGCTCCTTTTGGAGCACTTATGTAAACAACGATGGCACGTTGGTTCGAACACATGTGTATGCACTTAAATTGATATAGAAATAACACAGCAGGAAAACTATTCCAATCACAGCTCAGTGATGAGAATACCGAAGCTACTTTCAATTCCTCATTTCGCTGTCTATCCCTGCACTGTACTGCACTGGTTCATCTTCTGCTTCACTATCTTACTCTCCCTGCTCTATCATCTTCCATGTGTCCGTGGAAATCCATTCCTTGTCTTGCCGCTTCTTCTTCCTTCCTAACACGGTTATGCAGGTTCCTTTCAACATCTCTTTCAAAGAGTTCCAGTGTTCTTCCACACAGGTTTTTTCGGGGATGTTGCTCAGTGTCTCCCATTTTGTTCTGATGTCTGACGGATGTGAAGATGTGCCTTGAAGTTTCGTCCTTCAGTTTCTGTTCTGGGTGTTGAACTTCAACTGTGGTCTATCACCAACTTCCTTCAAGACTCTCGACTTGATTTGGAAGGTAGGTTCCTTGCACTAGATAGTGAGTGGTGTGAACCCAACGTACATCTGCTCCTCTTCTTCATCTGATCTGATCTGATCTTGTGTCCAGTAGGCTAGCTGCGTCTCCACTTTCTTCACATTTAGATAAAGTCGATGTGATTTTTAGTGTGTCTGGTGTCTGGTGAAATCCATGTCGCTTTGTGAATATCCTTGTGTTTGAACACACTGCCTCCAATCACGAAGTCAAAAGTCTGAAAAAAGTCCTCCATTCTAGTTCATTTCACCGAGTGCTTCTCGATGCATGATTGATTCTCTTCCTGTGTTGTCTGCTCCCAGTTTGTTATTCATGTCTCCCCACCCATTAGAATTTTGATGTCGTCATCTGGAGAGGGTGTATTGTCCATTACTGATTGCAGTTGGTACTCGTCGGTAAAGCGTATCTGAAAGCTTCAGAGAACTGAAATTCGATCATACGTCACCCAGTACTGCTGTGGTAGTCGTTACCACTGAGATACTGAGGCTGCAAATGACCTGTAAGATTGGGTTTTTTACATTGACCTGTCAATGAACAATAACTGATCAGTGCAAATTGTTGCTTCATGGTTCGTCTGCATTTGTGGCTGATCTGACAGGAAGCGAAGTGGTTGAGCGCGTGTGCTTCTTATCTAACTTTGGAAGTAGGATCAACCCTGATGGGTTGGGCTTGGAAACATGATCATTAAAGTTAGAGGACTTGAGATGGCTTCAGTTGTTCGACCATCTTTGCCTTCGTAGCAAAAGCGGTGTCTTAAAGTCATAAATGCAGGAGTTAGGCCTAGAGTTTTAGGTAAAAGAGATAAGTTGCTTGTTGAGGTTGTAAACCTTCATCAACTTGAACGGCTGGGATATGTGTCACGCATGCGTAGTCACTTTATATCCAAGCGTGCATATTTTTCTAAAGTGACAGGAAAAAGAATACAGCCATTCAGATTAAAGCATGGCATTAGTTCATGAAATATAACTGTTGGTCTAGACTGTTTAGGGAAATTTTGACTTCCCGGTTAGAGCTCATGTCACAACCGAGATTGATGGTTGGAAACTAGGTGATATTACTGGGTCTTGATCTCAATGATGTAAGTGTATCCACACATTATATTTATCCTTATAGTCATATCACCTACCTACCTACCTGGTTTACCATCATCTCTCTTCCTACAATTTCCTAATATCGTTGATTACTTTCTTCCTATTTTTCATCTTGTCGCTTTCTACCTTGACACCCTGGTCCGAAGTGTAGTAACTTGGACCACTACGTAGTGACACCCCAGTCTCATGTTCTTATTAACTGTTTCTGCTAAGTGGATTGTTTTCTCTTGATGTAGCAAATAAATACGAAATCAAGCTAGATCCTAGGCTAGCTATGGAAACTCTTGAGGACATCGATGGAGATTAACTGCACTCAGAAGATGCCAGGAAAACGACGAAAAAATACCCACCAATAAACCCTACGTCTCTGCTAGCTTGTCTGTCATCGGTGTATTGAGACAGGCTGTGAGTAAGGTAGTGTGCTGCATCTGGCAGTAGTAGCAAGCTTTTGCTGTTTATCTGAGCCACTGGCTGTAACAGTGGGGTGTCGGCAAGTTAGCTTGTCAAGTAGATGGTACACCAATCAATAACCTTCGTAGATGCCTCTGATACTTGGAAGAGTACTTAAAATGCAATTTGACTGACCTAATGCTCCAGAAACGTCCACTCAAATGTATTTCGCTCCATTGTTAGTTGACATTAACCCACTTAACTAAGTGGACGTCCGTAAACTACTCTAAATATTAAAGCCCTCTAAGATATTCAGCTCAAACAGCCTACTCCCGGCTGTTTTTAAGGATGGAAACAAAACTGTAGGTAGGAAGGTGGCTTGACCATCTGAAGTATGATTGACTGGTTGTTCCATCACTGTGAAATAGAGCCATTGTTGTACTCGTTCTTAAAAAGGATCTAAGGGACGCTTGACATTCATTGGGGCACCAATCTGTTACCGACAGTGTCTAAAATCCTGGCTGTTATCATGCATGCCATGATGTAAAAGGTTGGGTTTATGACTCATTGCTTTGGGTATTTCTGTGCTGCGTGTGTGAAACCTGGTATCTGCAAGCTTGGGATTTTTGATGATTCGACATTTTTTATAAATGTCGTCCCCGTGGTGTTGCTAGGATCTACTGGAAACAATACTTAAGTAACCCTGAAGCGAGGTAATGCGTGTTCGGGTATAATGGGGTCATTATCCATTGATTGAAATCATCTTAAAATACAAGCTTTGGTGATTTCGAAATCTGCTACACATACCGTCCTAAATTCTTTCTCAAGGTTCACTGCTTTCTCACTCGGGAACTGACTGGGAGAAGAAGCGGTGGTCAGTATAGGATGTGGCACCATGAGATGCAGGACGTTTGCGTACTGGTGCCTTACTAATTGGTGAATACGGTCTGAAAGATCATTGAATTCACTGGCCTGAGACGACATTGGAACTGGCTCAGAATTGTAGGTTAAGCTACCTAGGAGAACTAGGTTAAGGGGCTTGGTTAAACTTTACACATGGCCATTCACAACTATTCATCTCTTTCCAACAGTGGTACTGATTAGAAGTAGCGAAAAGTTGATCGTTTGTATCTGCCAATGCTATCATATTATTACACTATGCATCTTTTTGGTGCTGATGTTGTATCTGGGTTGTGTTCATATAAAATCTGGCGACGTAGCGTCATCGTATAGCACTTCGTAAATGTTTACCACTACTAATTAGAATTCTTTATAATATCCTATTTTGTCGTGATCCTAGAAGCAAGAGCTGCCAACGCGTATCTGTTTTCGAAAGCAATAAGATAATAATGCTAGATTTCCTTCGTTGTAAAGTGTTGATCATCTATAACCAACGCTTTAACACCAACACAGAAACAGTACTAATTCACTCTACATGGCCTGTAACTTCTGTCCTTTATTTTACGGTGTACACCCACATCGTGGTTTTATGTTTAGATATATTTTTTCATACTACATTTCTAAATCAATTGGACATCACTGGTTACCATTCATATACTTTTTATGTTTTGCTCATATGACTATTTTGAGAAAAATAGGTCTTAGACACAACTGATCGAGATAGAGCTCTGGCTGAACTTGATCGTGAACGAAAAGCGCGTCAGAAAGCAGAACAGGAAGCTGCTGAACTTAAGGCAAGGTACGACCTTATGCAAGCAGAACTACTGCAGCTTCGCGATGAGCTTCAGTCTGCCAGAGGATTTTCAAAGATCCAAACGTCTCGTTTTCTCAACCCTGGAGATCTGTCAAATTACCAAAGTTCAAGGTGGGTTGATTTTTTCAGAACTCCTGAATGTACATTAATTTTATTCTTGAATTAGCTGCAAGTTTGTCGTTCTCCTTATGTAACAATAAATTAATCTCTTCATCATGGGTTGTCAAGTTTATACTAATAATTGGCTACTCACTAGTCTAATGTATGTCAGTGATGTCTTAAGAAACATTGTTACAAACTGCGACTGTTTAGTTCTGTTAATAAAAGCCAGATTTGATATATATATATATATATATATATATATATATATATATATATATATATATTGCAAATCTTAGTCTTATGTGAAACTGTAAAGTAGTGAGTTGTCAGGAGATTCAGATTTCTAAACCGTAACACCACAGTGCACGATTTGTGGTTAATCTGTCCAGGTATTCTGTCCATTTCGGTCTTCAGGCCCACAAAATATGGACACTAAGCGTCGATCTTCCGAAATTAGCTGTTTATACCTCATTTAATCTTTTCTACAATATACTGGTATTTTCCTCACATGAATGAAGAACGGTTTTACAGGTTATAATTTAAATTACACTTATGCCTGTGAAAAAAGTGTTATTTACGTGGGATATTTTACATATTTTGAAAATAAATTTATTGAACAACTACATTTTGTAGAAATTTTTGTGACGTTAATATTATACGCTGAATAAATTGAACTGATAGTTGTACATAAAACTAGTAACCCACAAAGTATTAATCTAGAAAATTTGTTAAAATGTTGCAAATTCATGCATATGTGGTCTTATCAGCGTATTTGTTTTCTTGCTGAGTAGGTTTTCTTTCAATATAAACTTAAAATAATCATTTTAATGTTTACATTATCCCCCACTTACTTCCACATTACATTTTAGCTCAGAAGTTCCATCCCTTCAAATTACTTCGAATGGTCAGTATGAATTATTAAATACTTTTCTTGTTTCAGCTGTAAGTTGTTATTCTAGCTTTTGGTGTTATTTTGATGAGTATTAAATTCACTTTTCTTTCGTCAATAGATTATCTTCAAAATTAGTTAGTTGACCTGCATATAACTCTTGGTGTCAGTTTCCTAACTCTTTTAAACGATTTTAAGAGATAACTTTTAGTGAGACTGCAAACTCCATGTAGTTCAAATTTTCGAGTGTTTATATGGCCTTCTATCTAGCAGTAAGTTTGATTCAATCACATCTAGTTAGTATTTAATTGTCGGCTCTTCGGTCATAATTTATCATTTACTCAGTGCTCTTTACATGTACATCTTCTTTTATTTCACTTGTTATTAACCTTGACTTTGTGTACCATATTGAGTCAATAAATTGTTGTTACAGTGTAACCGTCCTGTCATGCAAGAGCTGAGTCAGCTATTGTAAAACTATCATTGTTTAGCTATGTTGCCTTCTACGTATTCAACTTGATGAGAATCAGACAGCAAGCGGGTTTGGTTAAAGTCCCAAAATGCCCTACTGTTTATGTGTGTTTTTTTGTTTCCAGCACTGAATTCCCGTAAAGGTTGACATAAAGAAGGATTTAGACTAACTGTTAGACTGAATTAGATTCAATGCAAATTGTTCTTCCACCAGAATCTTAAAAGAAAATTGGCTACACTATACACAAGATTTCATAAAATGATGAGTAAAGCTATCTGACACATTTATAGATCTCCATGTTGCAACGATTTCATATTAAGTAGGAGTAAAACTGCTTCATGGAAGTCTCATCCATAAGCATTATGGCTAAATAAATCCCTTTCAACTTTTTGATACAAGTTAATCAATCAAGCAAATCCGATGGTATCCGTATGTCACTTCTGTCAAAAGTTGCACAAGCTTTTCGCAAGATCTGGAAAGCTTATTGTTCACAATGTGCAGTTGAAATAGAGGCAGCAGCTTTATCTGACAACTACCAGAGGTTATCTCACCTTGTGCAGACCATTGGGAGCTAGAAGCTCGTTGTTTATGATTTGCGTATATGAAAAGTGTGACAACACAAATGCGTTATAATTTACGTTTAAAATATTGGATACTGTAGTCATATAGAGGCTGTAAAGGCCGCAAAAATGTGACTTGCGAGGAGCAAACATTGTTTCATGTAAATTGTAGATGCAATGATCACTTTGGTTCTAAATTAGATGCTTCAACATCGTCACACATTGTGTAACAAATGCTTTTGTATATGAACATTCGTTACTTAGATTTACCGACTTGAGATCATTTTAAGAGAGGAATACATGATAAGTTTATTATTTACGAAGATATGCACGTTACCACCACAAGTGATGTTCAAGCATACAGCCATTTTTGATAACTAGCGTGAGCCGAAAGCACAACACTGGTCATCTAAATTTCCATTATATGCGTATTAGAATGAACATTTAGGATTGGAATGTCCGATGGCTTTGTGTTCAATCACCATTGCTTACGTAAAATTGCTCAAATCTCCAGCCGAAATATGTTAATTTTTTAATGTTAATGTTTCTACGTGATGATGTATTAAATTATTTCGAAACACTAGATTCGGTCGCTGGGTTATGTTTAACAAATTTCACCCCAATGGTTTCCATATCCACCACTCGCTTGATTTTTCTACTGGTAAACACTCCAGTAACGAGTAAAACTTAATTCTCTTAATGAATCTAGGTAAAAAAAGAGGCAACCTGACTTTGTGTAAATAAAAATGTTGGAGAAAAATGTTTTTCGAAGAATCTATCAGCGGTTATGAATCATAATTCCGTAAAACTTCATCATTTTGAGCACATTGCGTGAAATAATTACTTTGAAAACAGAAATTATCCAGATTATCGTGGTTTATGTTCATGTTAGCCTATGGAATAATGGTTGAAGTGACTCATGTATATCTTTCCATTTATCGTTTGTATATCAACCTAGCCATGATTTTCAGCACATTAAAGCTGGCAGCCTGAGTTCAGACAAATCGCAGCGGACTTAGGTTCAGCTTTTATTTTCAGTGGGAACAGATACTGAACTGAATAGAATTTAATTTAAAGTTACTTCTCGTTCAACACTGCTAGATGCTAGCTAGCAAGTTGCGGACTAACCAAAAAACTGCCATGTTGTTTGATTGTATTGAAGAGTCTTACGCTAGAATAAACAGTAGTCTGCACCTTTTTTAGGAGTAGATAATTGTCGTTACTATTTACATGAGTGATTTCGCTTCGTGACGAGAACTGTGACGAAATAATGGATTCAACCTATCTACTCTTCATAAACGTACAACTTGTCTGAATGTTGTCATATAACTCAATGAGTTTTCATGATTTATACTTATGTACTTCTATGGAATTAGTTATATCATTCTTATTGATGCTCCTTCTGTTATTCTTTGGCTTCCCAACAGTATTTTCATACATCTCTGTTGTTTTTGATATTTTAGGATGGAAACTGCCGCGTTATGGCATCCTGTGATTACCTAAACATCTTGTGTGTTTCACAGTCTTCAACCAATCCAATATTTCGAGGATACGGTATACGTAAGGTAGGTTTTTCGACCCTTTGTTAGTCCCACTCTTTCCTAGACTATATGATTGCGCTGGATTTTTTTTGGAACGGTTAAGTAGTCAGTTATGCATATGCAAGTAAGCCAGTCGATACTAGTTTACGTACTAGACTATGAATCGAACTTGAAGCTCAGTAGCTTGCAGTAATACGCATTTATTCAGGTAAAATTAGGTGGGGATAGATTTCAACCTAACGCTTAAAAGCTGAATGTCTCATCCAGTGAGACAATCTTCATAATTTTCTGCTTCCTAGAGAAGGAAGAGGAGAACAATATTTCACTTGAATGTTCTATTGTTTTTCAAAACTTTCTTCTGTAACTACATGAGGTTTATCTACTTACTACTGTAAGAAGGGGATCTTTTCGTCCTGCGGATTCATTAAGGACAACAATACTGACATTCAGCTGTTAATTTATAAATAAGAGTGAACTCGCTTTTTTAGCATTCATATTTGTTTCACTAGAATTATAACCTTCATTCAGGGGAGTGGAAAATTCCTTTGGGTGGGCACTGCGTTGTTACTTCATCTACCGGTCGTATTCCCCTTTACCGATGTCACTCAACCAGTAGTCAGAACTAGGGCATAACAAAGATTTACATCATTAGGTCGACTTCTCAACATTGCGTATTACTGTATGATATCAGCTGTAACCTAACCACTAGTATAATGACATCGTCTCAAACTGTGTTCCATAGTTTCGAGATTTTAAATTGTTTTTGGTTTCTGGATACTTTTAACCAGTAGTGATAAGCAAGAAGGTTTTCTGCTAATTTCGTTCCAATATTTAGTCAACAAAACAAAACAATTAAGTCTGTTGGGATCGTGTAGTATATTTGGCCAAAATATGTGGAACAATCTGACCATACTAACTGGTCATAGGTATTTGTATGAAAGATAATAAAGGTGGGAATATGAAAAGAGGCTAAGTAAGAAGGTCTAGTTGAAACTTAGAACCACGATAAGAGTCGATGAACAATGTCAGTCTACGATGAATAACAACTTGAAATATTTCCAAATCCCCACAACTCCCTCAAAATTCAAATGAACAATAAGAAAAATAGTAATACGTCGAATATGGTTTCAAGGCTAAGTTCACCAAGGAAAATTGAATGTGATCATAAACCGTTTTTGAACACATTGAAATGGTTTAAACTTCCTAATAGCTAAAACCTGGACAGGTTTGAGTATGCACCTCTAACAGCTTGTATTTACCAATTTAGATGTAAGTATCGTCACACTTACATAGTAAGTACTCGTCGGTCTATGTAACCACACCTCACAGACCATATTCCAGAGTGACGTCAAAAACGCATCAAAACATGTCTCCCTAGCTGCTGACAACAGACTTGCAAGTTCTTTAACTGTAAAACATTGAGAAAAGTTGTTGGTTAGATAAATCTACATCTTTTAGATCTGTTTACAAAAGTGTTGTCCCTGTGTCCTTTAATCTATTTAGGCCTAAGCTGTTGGGAAGTTTAAGCTATCTTTATGTATAAGAAAACAGTTTTTGATCACTTTCAATCTTCTCTGATTAGTTTAGCCTTGCAAACAATTTCATCGTATTATATATATATTTTTTTATTGTTCATTGACCCTCATTGTTGTTCTAAGTTTCAACTAGACCTTCTTAATTAACGTATTTTTTACATTATATATTATATTATTCTTTTTATATTCTCACCTCGTTATTATTATTTCATACAAATACCTGTAATCCTCGAATGTGATCAGATTGTCTGAGATATTTTACGTGAATAAACTACGCTATTCAAACAAAGTACGTCTTCTGTCATTTTGTCGGAACCAAATAATTTTCTTGACGGTTTTGATAATTTTAAAGACTTTTCACTTACCGAACAGTTTATTTTAATGTCACTGATATCAACGATATCCGAGTTAATAAATATGCTTGAAAAAACATCAGTTCACTTAATTTTTTTGCCCATCATTCTCACTCTGATGGGATACTCAGTTTGAAATAATGACATATTTGTAATACATTTATTATACCTTGAAACTTTACAGGAATTAATCTTTTTCATCAGTATCCTATTCTAATTATACCACTAATGGTCTACCTCATTATTTTCTTCAGAACTGTAATCGGCATTTTTTTCTGTATGATGTAAATCTGACTGACAGAAAATTACTGTGTAACATGACTGAGGCATGTTTTTAGTGTAACTACTATGAATTTACTGGCTCCTCTGTTTAAATCATATTCACCAATCTTAGTTTCTGAATATATATTTGGCATTTCGTTTGGTTAATAAAATTTACCATCCTTAAAAAGTCAGTAGTTTCCATCGTTTTCAAACCACTGTTTAACCTGCTAAGCAGCATAATATATATATATATATAAATTTTACGACCTAATTGCCTAGTTAAACCAAGAAAATAATGCAATACATTAACCTGTTTCAGCTCTATTTAACTAATTAGAAGCCACACCTAAATTATGAGGAATAATAATGCCACTTTGTGTGACAAGACCGAAGAGGATGGAGTGGACTGAAATTTACAGTTGAAGGTTGTCAGTTCACCGTTTGTACCACTAAGTCATAGGTCTACCACTGTGCGTTTAGTAATTACCCTATTCTACATCAAACGTTCATAATCAAACCGGTTCTACAGCAAGACGTATTGCGTAAGCCTTAAGCTGTAGCTGAAACAGAATGATTAATGTAAATTGTCACTATACTTGAAATCTAAGTGGTGTACAATCCAATTTTTTGCGAATTTATTGGAAATTCAGGAGCCTAAATCATAATTGTTTTGTACGTCGTTCGCATGAATTGTTTATATCAACTGTCCTCAAAGATTGTTGTCAACTTTATTTCTATCTAAGTTGAGCTTGATCAGTGTGGATGTGTTGAGTGAGTTTGAGTCATCTCAGTAATGACGAATCGATGGTGAAAATTTTCATTTATCAGTGTTTGTCATTCAGGTTGGATGCTGCCCCTTTCTTTGTCATTTGTGTTGTGACTAGTTCATAATCACTTTGACGAGCTTCTTCAGAAATTTATTTCCTTCTGGCTCACAGATAATATACAAGTCTACTTGACTATTGATTGACATCTCAGGCGAGTATAATGCCCACTTGTGTACGCAGCTCATACTGTCTCTTAGAGACCTTATAAATTGTCTCCAAACCATAGACTCAAATTCAAAGCACTCCCCGAGTGTTGAAGTTTGCAAATCAAACTCTCCACACCCTTTTGCACCAATGTGGCTCATACGCATACTGAAATTTGATTATCACTGTACATTCACTGCTTCTATCTCTGTTTTCTATCTATCAGGTAAATAGCGCTGAACAAAGATTAGTAAAATATGTTCATCTACATACACAACCAATTAGAGATTTGGCGTTTCATCCCGCGGCTCAAGATGGTATTGTGGCTAGTGCAAGCCTCGACAAAACTCTACGTCTTACCAGTTTATTGAATGATACAGTAAGTCTAACTTTCTTTCCTTATTTTTGCCTTTCATTTCGTATGATAGTATTTCATAAAGTACCGTTGAAAAAAGTCCAATGAAGAGGCTGAAATCACCTGAAAAAATACAACTGATAGTAGTAAAATTACTAAACCTACCTATAACTTATCCATTTACAAATGATTTCTTCTCTTCCATGTTCATTCTCACGATTCTTGAACTTTATATTTTCATCCAATATTGCGTATTACTTTTGCCTGATTTCTCATTACTCGGTCGTTATAACTTTCGACATTGATATATCAACTACGCACATCCATTTTTATAAGTAGTTCTCACTACACAGCTACCAGTAGACTAATTACTATCCCTTCATTGTTGTCACCATAATTTTAACAACACTATTCTTTTAAAGAAGAAGTCATTAGTTCATGATTACGAAAAGCGACCCTTGAGATAAATGAAAAAATATGTCAAAAGTGAAGTAAATTTACTCTTTTAGGTAAACCAATCTCTTCAAACTCAGAACGTTTCATCAACAAATCTAGCTTAGTTATATTGTCAAGATGTTGGATATGTACGATTTCTGAAAATAAATGCCTAATGCTCATGTTTTCAAAAATTAACTTTAAAAATTTAAACTTTATGGTTTTCGCACCTTTTTCCGCCTCACTAACACTGCACCTCTTTCAATTATGCTAAATTATCTCTCTACTTTAAGGACGTTTCTATAATATATGAACCAATCACGTATACCCGTGTAAGTATACTCTTCCTGGTTGCAGTTAACTTCAACCTAGTGTTGTATTCTCTGTGCTAGTCGAGAGACATGTCGAAAATCGTATTTCATTCATGTATCTTATCAGACTTCTACAATGTAGTATAATCGCTAATCTGAACAGAAATTCAGAAATATGATTTTATGAGTTCGTAGAGATCATCGTTTAGAATCAAATACTAAACCTGGCTAAACAATGGCTGAGACTGTTAGCAGCTAATTGACCTCAATCATTAGCTATTTGTGCACATGACTATTTGGTGCATAATGCCCATTGTAAAGTTCAGAAATGTTCTAGTCTGGTCATCATATTTTTTGCATCCCACCACTTGATAAAACCAGTATCATTTATAGATCGAATATACTGCGAAATAAAATGAGATTTAAGGCAGACAAAAGATTTTCTGCAGTAATAATGATAACCAGACTTCTCGTAAGTAGTGTGATTTTATCACATACTCATTAACCACTTACTGTATAGACCAGTACATTTCTACATGTCTTATGCACGATGATTTTAGCAATACTCCATCGTCGACTAATCGTAATCTTCAGAAATCATCGATTTAATCTATAGTTTATACGGATAAATAGTTCTGTCACAATTATATTTAGAATGAATATCCAGGTGCAGATTTTACTTATAGTTACTTTCAACTTATCAGTTGTCGTGTTTCTTCTATTAGGAATTAAGACAATTCAATTTAATCCTGACTTGTGTAAGATTTTTATTTTATTGTCAAATCGTGTCCAGAGATTTTTGTGTTCCATGTGATGTTTTATTTAATTTCAGTAGCTATCATAAATTGCATTTGGAAGTTTTCTGTCTTATTATACTCGTGTACAACTTTTCCTAGTGCCATTATCCAGCCTGATGTACTACTTGTAGTGTAGTTCCTTTGCTGTTTACGCATTTCGTATGCATAGTTTTGGTTCATTGGTATAAGAACTCGACTTTCTAGCAGTGTGTCCCGAGTTCGAAGTCTATTCAACCTACTTTGGCACAGGCAACCAGATGGTATTATTGGCCCTCATCCAGCGAGTGCTGCTCATAGCCCATTACATACACACGTACCAAGTTGAGTAACATTCGAAAATATTTCAACATATTTCGTTCATTTACTGTCAAACCATAGCCAGACCTATCAATGAACAAAGAATCAAGCTTCTTAACTAAGTTAAAGCCATAAATTGAACAGTATTAGCTCAACAATGAAAACATATACCAGTTTAATCAAGATGCTCTGAAAGCACATAACATGGTCAAAAATCCTCCTACTTTGAAGAAAATACTGTATTGAAATGCTTTTAAAATTGGTAGTGAAAATCATTTTTCACGTACTTCCTTTTAATATGAAGTAAGCCGTAACCAGTACTTAGCTTTAACGCGTCAACTTAGTCTAAACCTGGTAATAACATCCGACATTTAGATTTGGTGTAATAGCTTTGAAGCATACAGGAAAACACCCAGATATAATTTCCGTATTTTTTTCTGTAGCAAAATAAAATGAATTGACAAAATAATGAGCATTTAATGCTTTTCTTTTTAATATGTATATTTTGTTCAGTGATTCACTCAACTGTTCGTTCAACCATTCCTCTAGGCATGTTAAGACAAGAATTTTGTATAGAGTTTTCTTCTGAAAAGTCTCCATATATATGATATACATTTTGTAGCCTTTTATATCATTGTGACGTATCCGAATATTCTATTCCTACTCATTAATTCTAGATTGTCCAAACTTACCAATGTCCAGCAGGTGTATGGAGTTGTTGTTGGACTACAGATTCGAATCGCTTATTTGCAGGATGCGCCAATGGTTCCATTCTTCTATACGATATACGCGTAACTACAGGTCCTTTGGACACCTTATTTGTACCAAATAATGATGCACCTGTTTTGGGACTGCAATACCTTTCCCCTACTGAAGATCAAAATACTTCTACTGCTGGAGGTTTGTTAGTTGGACAGTTAAATAAAGTACGTTGTTTCAGCAGTATTCAAAATATTTACGTGAAAGAAATAATTCAACATAACGGATACAACTAGCTTCCATTTATTTTTGTATTAAATTTTGTTTCAAAACCTGTGAGCAATAAACGCGTATCTTAAAACTGGATCTACAACCAATAAGCTCAACTGTGAACTCTTTAACCACAATCTATTGTCAGATATCATTAGCGAGCAGAGAAAATAGATTCCTGTTTCCTATGAAGATTGCTAGTTCGTGACGTTCTGTAGTTACACTGTGACAGTAGTGCATACTTTACATTAATTGCACCATTCCATAAATCAGTTAAGGTAAATTTGTAACTGGTGAGAATCTGACGCTGAATTCAAACCCTCGTTGTGCCCACCTTTGCACTGAATGATTTTCTTTTGGTTCTGAACAGTAGTCATATGTAAGTACTGAGTACTAACTCCCACTAATACAACTCGGTAGTTCTATGAAGGTTGATGGTAATTAAGATCTAATTACACCATGGGATTTTGTATAACTCAAGAGGCAGGACAAAATTCTGACCTGTAGCTCATGAATAGAGAACATATTACCTGGGTCATCATGTCGTATCGTTTAAAGCCACCAGTTCCTAACTTGTCAGCAACCCATCTTTTCCTTCAATTATTATCCTTGTGAAGGGGCGTCAGTCATGACTGTGCTCCATAGCATTGATTATCAACATGATTAGGTCTAGTGTTTTAATAAGTTATTCGTTGTTTCTCTACTTTATTAACACTAGTTATCGTTGTAACAGTTCTGTTGGTCATAGGATCTTGAAATTTCTTGTTGTTGGTAATAGTTAGACTTGACGTGATCAGTCTGTGTTGACATATCGACTCCCCTTATGAATGCTCAAGTATTGTTTTTTTGGAATCATAATATTCTATTTATAGTGTATAGTGATGAGCTGCAGGACAGTGTCAAGATTTCAGAAAAGACAGCATTAAGGTCTCTGCACATGAATGGATCAAGTCAGTCCTGAAAACTATTGAAGATGGGGAATTTCAAGCTGTAATAGTAACTTTTTTCATTGAAGAAGAAGGAAGTATCATAAATAGTCTGGTAGATGATACGAAATTGACGAATAGCGTGACTACTTACAAATGTGTTCTGGTTCTCATTGTCGCTAAATCTGTGAGTAGTTTGAAATTTATAACTACTAGTAGTAAACTTACTAGCAATCGGTTAGCATTTCTATAATAGTTGTAAAGCATCTATGAAGTCAAGACCCGCAACGAAAAACTAATTTAAAGAATTTTTCTTTATTCGATCAATCTTTATGTCGCAATTAGAATGTTAAGTCCATTTCAATGTTTTACATTTTCCAGGTTACATTCATGTCTGAAACCTCTGTAAATTCCTCGGCTACCCATGAAGCAACTGGTGAAGAATCTGTTACCAACATTGATTCAAATAATAGCTCTGAATACGTGCGACCACCTGATCTACAAAATAATCCTACTTTGCCTACAACCAACTGGTATGGAAATCTGCCAACATATAAGCCGCATAATCTTCCTTTGGAAGGTAGTTTGGTTTCATTGAGTGCTCTTCCACAAAGACGTCAGTTTTTGGCTTCCTACAGGCCGTCTCAGCGATTACCCCGTGTAAGGCACTTGTTAACGGAATTGCAAAGTGATTCTTCTGCACTGACAGGAACTGCCTACTCTTGCAGAGAAATACACAATCTTTGGGCTGGAAGCCGCATGAAGAAGCTCACTCGCGCCAAACTGTTTGTTGGACCTTCAAAGGAATCAGGTATATATGTATATCTTCTTTTTGCTGTGCTTTATTCTGATGGCACACAGCGCCACTCTAGTCAGTGTGTTCAATTTTGTTGGGACAACAAGCTTAATTTACAGTTAAGCATACGAATCTTTATGTAGTCACTGAGTTGTATTTGTTACTACACTTATTTGTTTATCTCACAATGGGATCCTACTTGTGTAGTAAAGCAAGCTAGGGTTTTAGTTTCTGGTCGACACATTGCTGTCAACTAAAACTTACTAAATCTAACCCATGGACCCCCTTCTTCACAGATTGTTGTCCGTGAAGTTCAAAATATTAGACAAGAACATTTATATTCGACATACATTGGAGCGTCTTTTGCTCATACAGTTGCGATCATGAGTCTGGGACTCCTTTGTATAGCTTCGTTGGCTTATCACAAACTGATCTGGAACACACGGTAGTGTTAGTTATTTTTGAATACTGTTAGCAATTTTCCCTACAGGCGGCTATAGAAATAATCTGCAAAGAATCACCAAGGAATTGCACACTGTTAATATCTTGTCACCTTTTGGATGATTGTAATTACCGCTTAAGCATCAGAATTTTCCTCTTTCCTCAACGTTGTTTCGTATAGGTTCAAAAATGTTTGACCCATTTACTCATCAGTTATAATTCTTATTACTATGCAGCCTAAAGAATTTAAGTAGCGTTTCTGCATATTGCCAAAGTCAATATATTGTTTATAAGTAGCATCTTATGTCCAAATTCAACATCTCTGACTACGGTTTTAATACTCAGATGTAAATAAGGTATGTGTTTTTGTAGTAAATACAACTGGTTATATTACTGAACAGTTTTTTAACCGACCCACCAGCAGTTCCTTGTCGTTTAAGCACAGAACAGAAAAGAAACGTACTACTCAGATGAGTATTTATTTTAGTCACTTACACAAATACAATACACAATCTGTATACAATAAAAACAATTGTATCTACCCAAGCTTACATAGAATCAGGTTGATTTTAGTAGCAACAAATAATCCCATGCATCTAATATAGCCATCAACTTCCATATACACTTGTTTATTTAATATAGTACACAGTGTTGTTGACTGCTACTCATCTCTACAGTTTCAAGCACATTTCTCTCGCAAAAAAACACACGGGGATTGTCACATGAGCAGTGTTCTTGTTATGATGTATCTAAAAAAACTAGGCTATCTGTTGATATCCGCTTTTGAATTTTATATATTTATTTATATGAAGGAACGTTTTCATCATTTTCTATTTTAAAGTATCAGTAGTTAACAGTTCAAATAAATTATTGTCCTATCGGTTCGCGAATCAGTGTCCAAAAGTTACCTCTAGATCTTTTAAATATCTTGTTTTAGATCTTATCGCTGTTGCTGGTAGTGAAGATGTTGGTGGTGCACTAATCTGGCAATGTGGTGATGGTACGCAAAAGCAAGTCCTGAAACCTCCTGAAACCACTGCTGACAACCCTGTTTTGGATGTATGTCCCATATATGTTACAGCCACACAAACTCACTACTTAGCACTACTTACTGCTCGATTGCTTCATTTTTACATCTGGCGTTACTAAAATATAAACAATGAACTCTATGTAAATATGTGTACATAATGTAACTCAGATAATACCTATTTTTTATTTCAAGCAACGCTTTCTTTCTTCCATTCAGTCACTCATGATGGAATTCGCCTTTTTAACATTTTGAATGGTTTTATCAAATTGTTTTACCTGTCATGCTCTAATTTTCACGTTGGCATAACTACTAGTTTGATGTAGTCAGGCACATTGTCTGCTACAATTTCATTTCAGAGGATTTGGCATGATGCAGTGTTCCGAAGTTGTGTACATCGTTGCATGTTAGGCTATTACTATCTTTTATTTGGTTAAAAAATAAACATGGACACTTAGAGATGTGCCATGCAAAATACCAACATTTAGAAGACATAAAAGTAATACAGAAAGAGAAAAAGCAATGGTGGGTTATCGAAAACAGTCTCAAAGAAGCATCCAATACTTTTATCTTGCTTTTCAGTAACAGAAGAAACAAGAAAGCTGATCATAACCATCACTGCCTTTGATTCTGAACCATTTGTGTCATCAATTTATCCCGTTGGGTTTCATGATCTCCTTAACCTCACTATTGGAGTCGTAGGGCAGATGGTGACCCAGTACAACTACCTTTCATCCCACGGTGTAACGTCATACACTCATATCCTTTCACCCTCTTCCAGTCAGTCTCTGCACAAGCGGTATAGAAGCCTCCGAGGTGATATTCGTAATTTGTTTCTTTTGTGATTAACGACTAGTGCTTGATAAAAACAGAACTTTGTGACCTAACGAGTACATGATAGTAATATTTCCAAACTGTATTCAGGTGTATCATGGCAAATGAAGAAGCAGCGGAAAAATGGTTTTCTTTTTCAGGAGTGAACATCGCGTCGTGCGTTATGATTCAGTGTGCACAATAATACTAAAACACAACCTAGATTGTAATCCCCCTCACTCTGATTCCTTATGTTTAGTGAGTCGACCTCCCGAATTCGAGAGCAGACCCGTAGGAAGTCTGTGGTCAGTTACTTTTCAAACTGCCGATGACGGAGCGAGCTTACATGATTTTTCTGTGAGTGACTCATGAGCCTGTTTGTGCGTCTTCTCATGAGCTCGATTCTTATTGGTCAGCGCATATTCGAAAGTGATTGGCTGTCACTGAGGTTTAGTTTCACCTATGCTGAAATAACTTGCTGTTGCTGAAGTTGTCATTACGTTCAGAACAGCAAACTATAATTTACAAAAATGAATGATAGTCTTCGGGTTGCAACTCAGTGATTATGGAAAAATGGGATTTAATATGGAAGTAAACAGGTTGGTACGGATCACGAGAATTTTAGACAAGGTGTTCTGAACATCCACCTCATCTTTTAAAAAGAAGCTACTACATTTTGACGCTGAAAAGTCCCAATATTTAACAATCAGTGGTAATATTCAATAAAATTATCATTCTTTGATCTGGACTGGCACGGGAATACAATAAATCCACAGTTCTGCACCCAATAAAGAACAGTAAATAACAAACAGCTTGCATGTATTTATTCGGAAAGCGTAACAATGGGAGCCTCAGTTCCAAACTTTATTCTTATTCAGGCAGTGCATGTAAAGCATAAGTACAAAATCTGCTTTTTAGCTATTGTGAAAACGACACTTCCACTTGCTCATCGTGTCAACTTGTGCTTACTGATTTTACTGTTATGCCCATGTTAATAACGTGCAACGGTTATGTCTTCCAGTGACAATATGCGCAGACTGAAATTATATATGATTCATATAGAAATTTATCCCTGCATATTCGAGGATAAATATTATGATTAATTATCAACTTCTACTAAGTATTTGAAAAGGACTTTCTATCAGAGCTAAATTTTGCATATGCAAGGCGGAGTTTTGGGTACAATCAGAACACAAAGAGCTTAATTTGCCCTCCGTCACGACTTTGCCAAATAATTCGTGCACGGCTAAGGTCGTTACTTTAGATCCGTCAAAATGATAACAGTCGGTTTCTGGATATCTCTGCCTGAAGTCATTTTGGTAATGTTATGGTAAGGGAGATAAACTAACTTATATTTCTGAATTTTGGGTAGCAACTCACTTAAAATGGTACTGACAAGCCTAAAGTTTCAGTTAACTGTTAAGGTGTATGTTAATGCAGTTTTTAGATTACATTGACATCAGCGATGTCTTGTGTCATGTTATATGGAATAAAGAATTCCGACCTTACTCTGAGAATGTAGAACTAAAAATTACCTGCTTCCTTCGACAGTGACAAACAGGTATATACTAGTCATTCACACAGGTGTTATGTATCGATGAACAAAGTTGAGTATGTGAAACAGTTGGTTTACCTCTAAGTTTTCCACTATTCAAACCAGTTATTACCATTGATTTAGGCTGTGGCCGCACCATAATGCAGACAAGAAAGAGCCAAGGACATTTGAATACTTTTACGAAAAATCATTTCTGCTGCGGACGACAAAAATATGATGATAATGTAATTCTACGTTCTTTCAAAAGGTAGGGAGTTTTATTTCTTACTCTGCATAGCTTCGTCACCCGAACCTAAGATACTACCTGAAAAAATGATCAAGACCAAACGCACGGATAAGTGGGTGGAACGTTCATTCATTTGCAGCAGACAGGTTCTTACATTACTATGAGTACTTACAAAGATGAAATTCTCGAACATATGGGCATTTATGCAGACAGTGGATGAGTCACGAGCACATATCACTTTGCCACCAAAGGCGAATTGCTTTTTTGGGAAACCATGCAGATAGTCGCGCAGACAGTGCACATAAACACCTTATTTAGTGTCTGAGGCGTGGCGAACCACTGTTGCCAGTAGTAATAAAAATTTGGAACAGCCCTGACTTCGAAATATGACTGCAGTTATTTGACACCTTGAGAAGTCTTCAGCCTTGTATGCGACTGCAAGGAAGTCGACCGGATTTCTATTTATCACCACTGTTTTTACATTTCGTTGATTCTGCCAGCTGATTTTAATCGTCTACCATAATTAACGTCAATATTCATTGTACAAAGCGGTCAGTAAGTCCGCGTATTGATGCAAGAAGCCTTTGTATTGGACATTCTCAATTCTAAAATAATGCTAGCCTTAAAACAAATAAATAAACATCTAAAATATTTAAGTAGTTGCTAAATAATCTTTTACGGCGTTGACGGGTGACTTCACTTCTGCAATCATATTTAAGTGTATAGGCATCCACACGTCATTTGTCATTTTTGTGTCTTCTTTGTGCTGGTCGGCAGCTACCAGCTGAGAGTCCCTACCTTAGACATTAATAGACAGAAGTTAGAATTCTTCCTTCAATATAACCTCTTTATCTGTAACTAATAAATAAGTTGTTTGTCTGAGTACTGTTTACCACACAACGTGTTTTCTCATTTGTGTTTAGTTATTTGTGCTTACACGTAGGTAAGGTACTGATTAGTTAGGTACTGGCACACGCTGATTTATGTAAGGCTGAACAAGTTTGGGGCAATAGTAACACAACCAGACCTTACACCAGAAGTGAGTATACGTTTTACTAGAACAGGGCGATGGTGCACACTGTCAATATTTTGCGAACACAGTGTGCTTTTGAAAGATGTAATGAATACATGCCGCTTTGAAAACAACTTTTGCCCACGGGTGATGAAGAATTACTGCTTGCTAAGAATACGTGAGGAATAATGACCAAAGTCTACAGACAACTGTTTATAGTCTATCGGAATTTAGTTTGTTTGTTTACACCACAAGTATCGAGAAAGGGCAGCTGTCATGTGTGTGCTTTAAAAAATGATGTGAATCATTCGTGACTACCTTTTGAGGCCAGGCTACCAACTGCTGAAATTACCAGTCACTTTCTGTTATTTCACCTCAGAAAGTAATTTACCATATAATTGTTGTGAGGCCCTAGTTTTGCAAAAAACATTCTTGGTATTGTTAAACGCGAATGCGAAAAGTTCAAGCTGAAGTCCATCATCAACAACCAATTCAAATCTTTGATACTCATATGCAGCCTTCAACCGCCCAAGTTCGCAGATATTAGAATGAGAACGCTAAATTGGTTGGGGCAAGAACCAACACTAACCTTGAATGATATCGCTGCTGAATATCAAGGATTGGCCAACTTGCAACTTATAAGTTTAGTCCAATCAGGTCGCAAGGATGATCATGAAGTGCATGCGGTTCGCTAGAAATCTCATTCCTCTGCCGTTTTTTAAAAAACGCGCTGTTGAAAGCTAGTTTTGCATAAAACATTTCTACTGATCTCAACACTTTTAACTTGACATTCCCACACCATTTTTACGGTATTGACTAGTAGTTTATTTTCAGCCCCCATTGTAACGTGATTCTCTGATCGGTTAATCTTTACTCTTACTATGCCAATGTCGCAAATTTTGAACAAGGTCATATTCACGTGTGTACTTATTCACGGAGAAATAAACCCTCCCATCATACAGCTTTGGTCTTCTCTCTATTCGTCCCGGGGTTGCAGTCGGTAGCTCTTGCATACTAAGTTAACTGTCAGTTAAGCGTGTGTGTCATATTCGTTCGGAATTGATAACAATAATCGAAAAAAGTAGTTGTTTATCTCAGCGGTTGTCGGAGTGGCCATAAAAGTCACTCATTGTTCATCTCACTCTTATCAGGAATTTCTCCACCTTAAGAAAACCCTCACTTGTAATATTCAGTTTATTGAAACCAGACGTTAGTGACACCTATCTATTTTTACTTATTGCACCAACTCGTAGTCTTCAATACACTTCTTAACCGCGTCATTGTGTGCTATATCGAATAAACAATTTAATATAGAAGTATACTCTACCGCCATGCCCAAGTTTTCTCCCCACATTGAGAAAAGCCAGCAATATAACTTCTTTGAACCCACCAATTATACCTCATGCAAGTGGCTCTTGGTTATTTCAACTGCCTCAGCTGACGATTCTCTTCGGTGGTCATATTCAAGGAGACATCTTTCTTGGTTCCATATGCATATGTGGCACTCAAGCTAAGACCCGTTGGCCAAATGGACAGAACTAAGTGGCAAGTGTCTGAAGGTAACCCAACATGAAATTGTATACTTCCC